TATTTATTTTGAGAGAGAGAGAGAAAATGAGCAGGGGAGGGGCACAGTCAGACAGAGAGAATCCCAAGCAGGCTCCGCACTGTCAGCACAGAGCCCGAGTCAGGGCTCAAAGTCACAAACCCCGAGATCATGACCTGAGCTGAAATCCAGAGCTGATGCATAAGCCCCCTGGGCGCCCCACAGAGGGCTCACTACTCATGGCGCTTGAATGGATCAGGCGTGAATGGAAAAATAAATAAATATGGGAGCCCCTGGGTACCCCACCGAGATGCTGGGTGGTTTCACGGTTCTTGCCGCCTTCCTTGCAAGAGATCCAAGGGTTTGCTTTCAATTAACGTGTATCTGCTCGTGACGAGAGCAAGTCACCAGAGATCCTCGGACGAACATGAGGGTGTCCCCGCCGTGTCAGGCCATCACAGGTGTGTGTTGTCTGAACCCGTGCCTGCTACTTTCCAGAACCTTGTTTCCCTGTCCATGCTCGTATGTTACAAGCTTTGATAGAAGGGGCCAGGGAGAGAGGGTGGAGAGCCTGGGGGCAGGTGTCCTTCCTTCCCGAACAGGTTGGACTTGATTTTCTAGCCTGGCGGGTGGTGGAGATGGGAGCCCCCGGGGGCACATCAGGGACTTTTCGGTTCTGAACTGTCACACTGCCTGCTTACGTGCCTGGTTTGCAAGGGCCCGTGGGCACATGTTTGCTATGGTCTGGTGATGACACACGGGGTTTCCAGCCGGTCCAGGAAGGGGTCCGAGGGAGCCTGGATGGGGGAGGGGTCCCCGGGCTGGCGCTGGTGATTCCCAGACTGGGTGCAGTCAGAGACGGAGTGCAAGTGGGGGAGGGGCAGAGAGAGAGGGAGACGCGGAATCCGAAGCGGGTTCCAGGCTCTGAGCCATCAGCACAGACCCCGACGCGGGGCTCGAACCCACCAACCCGTGAGATCAGGACCCGAGCCCAAATCAAGAGTCGGATGCTTAACCGACGGAGCCCCCCAGACACCCTGGGCTTAGACCAGTTGTGGATTCTGACCCGCTTGAAGCACATCCATCAGCAGGTGCCCCTAAGCGTCTTTACTGGACAGAGGTGGACAGACAGACCCATTGATGGCTCAGGGTCAAGCTGAACTCACTGAAAGCCTTTCTAGTAACTTCTCAGAAAACACTGACACTGGTTTTCTTGCTGAAAGGCACCTGTGGTTTGCTCGCCCTTCTTACAAGGGACCGGCCTTCCCCCCGAGTCACTGCAGCTGGGAAAGCCTTCAGAACTAAGTACCGGGAACCCAGGGTGTCCTGTCGTGAATCTACGGGGACTCAGAAAGCCAGGGGGCAGACAGAGAGAGGGACAGAGAGGCGGATGCCCACTGACAGCAGGGAGCTGGACGTGGGGCTCAAACCCATGAACCCTGAAGTCATGATCTGAGCCAAAGTCAGACACTTAGTCCACTGAACCCCCCCGGGCACCCCCCAGCTTAAAAAAAAAAAATCTTGGTTCTTTTTGTCACTTAAACTCAAGGTAGTCAACGAATAGTGCCGTATTCGTTTCAGGAGTAGATTCAGACACTTTCCTACTCGACCGACGCCGTGGGTGTTGGGTTGGCAGTGGTCTCGTTACTGGAAACCCGGGGGCCCCCAGGAATGGGAAGTGAGCAAGCATTCTGAGTGACATTGCCTACCTTGTGACGCCGTGGTCCCCCCCACCCCCCGCCCACTGGCCCCATGACCCACTGCTCTGATGGGATCTTGTGTACTCACCCCAGAAATACCCAGGGCTCTTTGGGGGCAGAGTCCCTCGTTGCAGAAAATTCTCGTGATCCGTTAATCACCTTTTCTGTCTATATAGGAAACACGATCAGAATCAGAAGAATTCATTGCAACCATTTCTGTCTTTTTTTTTTCTTTTTGATAGAATAGGCTTTTAAAAATGTTTATTTATTTTGAGAGAGAGAGAGAGAGTATGGGAAGGAGGAGACAGAGAGGAAGAGAGAGAATCCCCAGCAGGCCTCAGGCCGACAGCGCAGAGCCCGACCTGGGCGGGGGGGCTCCGTGTCATGAACCATCAGGTCAACCGATGACCTGCCCTGCAAATCAGGAGCTGGATGCTTCACCGACTGAGCCACCCAGGCGCCCCCTTTTCAACCCTTTCTTAGGTTGCTCCCAAGACCAGGTCATGAGGTATCATAAAATTATGTGGTCAGATACAATGTTTACAAAATTAAGTTGCTTATTCTGTTTTAAACAGTTATGGTAAACCGAGGCTCCCGGGGGGCTCATGGGTTGAGCGTCCGACTTCAGCTCAGGTCATGATCTCGTGGTCCGTGAGTTCGAGCCCCGTGTCGGGCTCTGTGCTGACAGCTCGGAGCCTGGAGCCTGCTTCCGATTCTGTGTCTGCCTCTGACCCTGCCCCTCCCCCACTCATGGTCTCTCTCTCTCTCTCTCTCTCTCTCTCTCTCTGAGGAATAAACAAACATTAAAAAAAATTAAACAATTATGGTAGACTATATGTAAAAATTTCCATGTTAAGCACTGTATTAAGTACATTCACATTTTTGTGCAATCATCCCTACCATCCATTTCTAGAATGTTCTCAGCTTCCCAAACTAAAACTCAGTCCCCATGAAACATGGCCTTGCGCCCCTGCCCCATCTCCTGGCCCCACCATCTTGTGCATGAGGGGGTCTCCACGGAAGTGTGGATTCTCATGAACTATTGATGAAGTCTGGAAATCAGTGCCCCAAAGACCTTTGTCTCTCTCGCCCTCATCCCCACCCTCTGGACAGACAGCTTGTGTCACTAGGGCTGTCTGTCCTACAGCTTCTACAGTTTTATATCTTTGCCTCTTGACAGAACCCAATAAATTCATCACATCTAGTAAAATTCGCACGTTTTGTGACCAACAGTGGGGTAAAGCACCTTCTCCAAAAAGTTCCTTGTTGCTGAGCCACTGATGTTCAAAGATGGCACCCCTCAGACCACAAGACTCAGATGCCATCGCTTCGTGGAAATAACAGATGGACCCGTGGCCCAGGAGGGTGGGTAATTCCTACAGACGTGTGGGTTCTCCTCACCCTGTCTGGAAAATTTAATCAGAGGCAAAATGGCTGCCCGTCCAGAAGCCTCCTCCACAAAGGAGAAGACCCATCATATGTTAAAATAAACATTCAGCCTCAACGCCGTCTGACTCCCATGCAATCCGTTAAAGAGATTTGCGAAGATGGAAACCCTTTTATAGAGCTGGTGGGCAGAACCCATTACACACGTATTCCGGGGACAAGCGATCACTAGTTCCCCAGTAGGAGCCTCGTCAGTACTGTTTGTCATACAAAGTTCTCCCTAAATTCATGGATGTGACCATCTGTGTTGAGCTAACTGGCTTCATCCAATGGAGAAAAGATAGTTTATTTTATTTTATTTTATTTTATTTTATTTTATTTTATT